CCCAAAACCGAAAAATGTAATAATAATCTTAGTAGTGAAAAGGACAGCTCAGAGTTTCTGTGTCTTTTTAGTTATTTTAGCAGCCGCCCTTTTTGTCTGCAGAGGGAGACCTGCCACCACAGCCACCTCCTCGGCTCAAGAGAGGCTCTTCTGCATCATCCTCGTCAAAGCCATGAAAGGTCGAGGTGTCGCTTTCTGACGTGGAACCGAACAAGTCCTCCGTAGTGCGTGCTGGCGCTGCTTCGTCCCTCCTGCCTTCTCTTCCCAAATGAGCTGACATGTATGATGAATATATCAGCACATGGGTTAAGCAACAGGCATCATCATCATCATTTTTTTTCATCATTTTCATTATCATTAAGCAAGTCAGACTACCAAGCTCATAGGTGTGTGCTTGTATGTGCCCGTGCACCCCAACAACATAGTATAGGTAGAACTGCAGTAAGAAAAATAACAAAGGATCAGTTTCTCTTTCCAAGAAAAAAATCTACAAACGCCACAGGTGCCCATAGCTACAGCAGCGAAAGGGTTAATCATGTTTTCCTCTCTTCAAAAGACAGTAAAATATTTCCTCATGATTCCTTAGATCAATTTTAAAATAATTTTAGACCATGTAAATAATGAGACACTGTTAGCTCTAAGCACAACGGCATCAACAGTCACAAATGTTCTGCTATAGTAATGTAAGCCACTACATGACTCATCAACCTCAGGACTATTTTATCCCATTCTTCACCTGATCCTAAAGAACCTCCTCTGCAGACAAAATTAAATACATTTTGAAGACTAAGTGAAAGTAACCTAAACCAATACTTTAATACAAATTTCATGGCACGTCCTTCAAAAATAAAAAAAAACCCCAAACTAATATATACAGTTCAACAACTAAAACAACTGAGAAGTAAGCCATCTTGGGAAACACTGGAAAGTTCAAATTTGTGTGAGTCAATCCAACTTTCAAGATGGAACAGAAAATTCTCCACACAATACCAATAACGGCAACAACAATCATAAGAAGACTACTAAAAAAACTCAAAATACTGAAATCTGTGAAATTGAGGTTTGCTTTCTCTCTCAGACAAACTTTTTATGTGATTAATAGTATGACCTTCAAATTCCCTCTTTAAGGATGGTAGAGAAAAAGATACCTCTTGTGTCCCAGCAAAATTGAAGTGTGAGATTTTAGGGAACAGCTATTTTGTTTTTCACAAACAGTAGCATGGTATTAAGCAACCAACTGTTGGGTCCCTGCTCCAGCTACAGGAATCAGCCATAAAACAAGTGTACACTGCATTGCTTGAGACAGAAAGAAGTAAATCCTGTTCACAAAAAAGAAAATTGATATAACAAAATAATTGGCAGATAAACCATATTGTAGAAATGTGACTTTACTGACTTTGTGAACAGAAGAAGCAATATAATTTCCATGACCTCTCTTTTGGTGTCATGAAAATATTCTCCATTATTATAAAAGAGAAAGATGGCAGACAACAAAGAGGTTTCATTGTTTTAGTTTAGAGATTAGTGTGTGGTTATACCTTAATCACTTTCATCACATATCAGTCACAGCATTGCAAACCCTATGAATGACCCAAGTGGGTCAGAATTTGTACAAGGATAGGATTTAATGGAACTGATTTGACACAGTTCCACTGATCAGCCTGTAGTTTAGGCTACAGGCTGATCTATTTGTTCTATCACACTAAGGAATCAAGGGAATTAATGTATTTGTGTTGTATTCTGATATAACCACCATAGCAATGTTTAAGTAGCAATAAAATATGGCTCCATTTCACTGTGCCATATGAGGACAATGCCGAAATCAGTTATATTGAAATATAACAATCAAGGTGAAGGGCAATAATCTTCCAAGATGGCACCCCAGACCCCATGGACTTTCCCCTTCAGTTATTAGAAGCAATCACATGTACACTAAAAGGTCCATGTCTCTGACTGCACAGCATTCGTAAGGATGACCCTGGAGAAAACCAAAGGGGTTGCCATTGATCCCCTCGTGACCAGCATCATTTCAGAATGTCTTCAGAGGTCACAACAACTGCAGAAGGCAATTTCAGTGAGAGTCTAGTTATTCTCCCATTGAATATGGTAACAGGTTACTATGAATTTCAGCAGGAGCATAAAAAGGCCATTTCTTTGTCATGAGAACATTCTACATCACATTTCAGCCATGAAGCAACAGACATCTTTCAGTGACTACAGCATAGAAGGAGCAGCATTCATAGTGAATTTCAAGGACTCCTTGGTTTTCAGATTTCTATATGACCATCTTATTACCACTAGTATCACCACAAAACAAAAATAGCACAAGTGGAAACTTGGACCAATGCTGCAACATGCAGTTGTTAAAGATCTCCCAATCCCTCTACCACCACCACTACCTCCTATGTAAGCTAAAAATCTATAAATAACTGTTCAGCTGGTATAAAATTAAAAAAAAAAAAAGTAAGAAAGGAAGAAAACAACAGCTCAGAAATAAAGACAACTCAAAATGGGAAAAACACAATTGCCTATATTTAAAAAGAGAGAAGGGAAGCAAAGGGAGAAATAAAAACCTCTTTAAACAAAACTAATGATAGTCATCTTGCAAGGGGATAATTCTTGACAGCTAGCCCCATACCTACCCTGTAATTTTCTCCCTCTTTTTTGGATGAAGAAATGCATGAAATGTGTAATCAATGGGAATGCTTGTCATGCAACTTTCATAAATCTTGTAAGTAATTTATAGTTGTAATTACAGCATTTAAAGACAGAGACCATTCTGTAAAATTGCCATAGGATTTTCTCCTTCCATGTAAAGAACAACTAGTACATGTACCAATGTTCCCAAAAGCCAATGAATAAACTAAAACTTCATTATTTCATAAGACCCCATTAGCTTAAATATGTGAATCCAACAATGGGGTTTATAATATAAAATTTTTCAGTCATCCTTTCCCACAAACACAGAGAACAGGTAAGATTCCACCTTCTATCCCTTCCCAAATATGCTGCATTTCTTCAAAATCTTCAGAAGGTGCAAAAACCAAATCACACAAATGCCTTTGTACAAGAAAGATGCAAGGAGTCACCTACCAGAGCGCCCACAGTCTGAGCACGATACAAGTTCCTCAGGCCGGCCACTTTTTTTGTTCATATTGGAGCCTCCGAGGCAGAAGTCACAGTAGTTATTGGGAATGATGACCCCGTCTGGTCCTTTCTGGGCTGTAGTTGGGTTAGAAATCAGATTTACTACAAAAGCATTCACTTAGGCATTTGCCCCTTATCCTTGATATGGTGTTAGCTTTGTGAGTTTGCAGGCCACAGTCTTCCCAAAACATTGTCAATCAGAACAAAAAGTGAACTGCATAAACCACCTCCATTTTGAGTACACTCTGGGTTGTATCTATTTTGCCTGAAATGCCCTTTACTATTTTCTTTATAATCCCAGCCAGACTGCTCCCTCTCAAGGACAGGCTTCCAGATATGCCTTTGCAGTTCAGGGACTTGTAACATACAGGTAGAAAGGCAATCCCTAAGGCAGTATAAGACCTATGTTGTCAGTAAGCCAAACTTGGTTTTTCAGGTAGCAGTCATCATCCTAATCCCACAAAACACAAATTCATAAAGGAAAAACACAGTCTCCAAAATTCAAAAGTCAACAGTGGGAAGATGGGGGGATAGGTACCCTTACTGTTTTTATTTCAAGTAGCTTCTTAGGGGACTACATCTCTTAGTAGCAGGGTGTCTTTAGCCAGAAGGTTGGTTCAAAAGCTCCTGAATATTCACAGGCAAAGCCATCTGGGGATGTTTCACCCAATACTCAAGCTCCCCTGCAGCTGTCATGTTCCCCTGGGATGAGCAGGAAGGGTCCAACACTACCCCAATCTGCACAGGTGCCAAGTGAGCCTGGGGCAGACATCCCAACCAGCAGAGTTAAAATTTTTTTCAGCCAAGAAAAAAGGAGCAAGATTATGTTATTATTTTTCAGCTAGGAATACTTGGAAAGGAGCAGACACACATGGATCTTAAGCAGAGGAGGATGCAGATCCCTTAGGAAGAAGAGAAGGGCAGAGGTCTTCTGCATTCCTCTTAGTTGAGCGTAACAGCAATGTCCTTTTTTTCTTGCTCACAACTGCCATTTCCCTCCTCTGCTCTCCAGAGAAGGAAAACATCTTCCTGTACACTCTAACTATGAACTGGGGAAGGGAGTAGAGGGACTGGTTGGTCTTTGTTTCTTCTCTTTGAACATCCAGCTATAGGCCAGTAGGTATAACTGGCCTAAGCCTACTGCATGAAGAACTTTACAAATGGGAAAATGAAGAACTTTAAACTGTACCATCTCTATTTAATTATCTTTTAAATGCATATTTTGTAACTTGCAGATTTTTAACAGATGTTTTAACAGCAGTTATTAACGGTCTTTTTGTCCACATTCAAATTTCCCCCAAAGAACAATGACATTCTAAAGGGCTTCTGGTAGCAGTCCAAGACCTACACTTAAAATTAAAATTTCCTCCAAGCTCAATCTGCCTTTCTAGTTTGGGTGCATCTAGTTATTAATTTATTTCCAGATGTTGATCAGCAGAACTTTTAGAGACTGGAACTAAAAGATTCCAGGTAAGGTGAAATTAAGAAGAAAATTAAAACCCATAAGGCTGCAAATACTTCACTATCTTCCTCTGTGGTCATGAAGAGCCTGACAGTATTTACTAAACAATGGACTTTGCTCTGAAATTATCCTGGTTGACAGATTCCCAAGTCTCTCAAAAAACAGAGAGAAGTTCCCAGTGTTAGATTAGCATTTTGTCTGTTCCAGGAAGCATTTAATACATGCATGCAAGATAAGCAAAAAAAGAACAGGAACCAGGTGGAAGTCTAGCACACCGGCTCATTTTAAGAGCTGTAACAAAATGATCATAAAGTTGCTGCTGGTACATATTTTGTGTATAAAAAACAGACCTCCCTAGCATTTATATTTCCCACTGCAGCCCCATTTTAAAAAAGTTAAGTAATTACCTCTTTATATTATTCTGCATCTACAGACAGGCCACATGCAATGCAAACTCAGCAACTTCAGAATTCAGTGACTTTTTTTGTTGTTGTCCCTTATTAAATTATTTCACCTTTCATCCAAGTTTCTTAAAGTGCCTTACAGATATGAAGATCCTATTATTAACCTTCTGTATGTCAAAAGCCTCTTTTGCCATTGATTCTAACCAAAGTGTTCTGTACCCTAATTAAGTCTCATGGTGAGGTTGTGTTGCATTTTAAAGCTGAAAGACTTGGAGATAAAGTGGTGAACTGGCTTATCCTCAAACACACAAAAATCCTGTGGCAAGGCCACAAATAAAAACAAGTAGTCAGGGTGCCAGCCAGCAGACTTAGCAAAGAGCTCCACTTCTACCACTGCTCATAATGGTGTAATTAATGCTCTGTATATACTGACTTAAATTTTTTCAACATGGATTATGATCATAAGATCCACTGACTGTCAAACTGGAAATGGGACAGGGGGACTCAAAAATACATACACTGATCAGTTCATCTGCAGTGTGTGAGAGAGGTATTTGCTGAGTATGATAAAGCTGAAGGGATCCTC